ATATGGGGAGCGCGGGTGGGGAGGTCGGGGGCCTGGACAGATCATGCCGAGACGCGCCAGCGGGGGGTGCGCCTCGTATGCATTCGCGCGGAAAGCAAAGTCGGCTTGGGGAACGCTAGTGGGGAGGATGGGGGTCTGGAGATGTGCCAGCGGGGGGTGCGCCTCGTCTGAACTCGCGCGGAAAGTAAACTCGACCTGACACAGGGGAATGCGAGTGGGGAGGTTGCCGGTCTGGAGACGGAAAATGCCGAGATGCGCCAGTGGGAGGTGCGCCTCTTCTGAACTCGCGCGGAACGTAAACTCGACCTGACATAGGGGAGCTCGAGTTGGGAGATGGGGTTTGGAGACGCAGAAAGCCGAGATGCGCCAGTGGGAGGTGCGCCTCGTATGCATTCGGGCGGAAAGTAAACTCGACCTGACATAGGGGAATGCGAGTGGGGAGGTTGCGGGCCTGGAGACGGATGATGCCGAGATGCGCCTGCGGGGGTGCGCCTCGTCTGAACTCGCTCGGAAAGTAACTTCCACCTGACATAAGGGATCGCGAGTGAAGAGAGTTTGTTTGCATAGCATTTTATCGTGACGATGTTGCACGTTCTTGCACAGCTCGTCGCTTTCACGCGCTTCCCGTTTAAGTTAAGAAAGGTTTTGTGTTCAGCTGGATTCGCAGCCACATAGGTTTCAACATATAAGTTCAATACAAGTTTTAGTACTTACGGCCGGTGCCGCCTACCCTGGAGGCCTCGGCCCTCGACGGAAATGGAAGGGAGAGGGCGGGCCATGGGCCCAGGGAGGGTGGTATTCTGACCCGGGACCCCCCCATGGACCCCCTTCCGTGACCCCCCCCTTCGAGTAAACACCGACGTTGCTCTGATTGGCTTCCCCTCCGCGTCGCGGCCGCTCCCCTCCCCCGCCCCCCCCCCCCCTTGGGGTATCCGGGTGGGCCCCCCCCCCCTCTCCGCCCCTCGGGGGGAAGGGATAAAAGGTAAGGGGCTTCCCTTCGAGTTGACGTTGCTCAGATTGGCTTCCCCCCCGTGTCGCGGCCGCTCCCCTCCGCGTCGCGGCCGCTCCCCTGCCTCGAAGGGAGCCGCGCGGGTGCCCCCCCCCCCCCCCATCCGGGTGCGATCCCCGCTCCCCCCTTCCCGCACACCCCCCCCTGCACCCCCCCCCCCCTCTCGGGGGGGAAGGGATAAAAGGGAAGGGGCTTCCCTTCGAGTAAGCTACGACGTTGCTCAGAGTGGCTTGGCTTCCCCCCCGTGTCCGGGGGGGGGGGCAGATTGGCTTCCCCCCTGGGTCGCGGCCGCTCCCCTCGCCCGGGGAGAGTCGACCACTCCCCCTTCTGGAGCCGACGTGGCGGTGTCGTGGGCAGCTCCCCTCCCCCCAGGGGAGCCGACCACCCCTCTTGGAGCCGACGTGACGATCTCGTGGGCGACGACGACCCACGCAAGATGACGAGACCAGGATGCGTCTTCCACACGCCGACAGGGTCGGCGGAGTCGCCGAAACATGCATTCACCTGGGGGCGTATGGAGAAGCTCCCAGCTTAACCCTAGCGGCGACACGCCTCGCGACTGTGTCTGGTGGCTCCAGCGTGAAGCCCGGCAATCCTTCGCCGGTGGGGGGCGCGTCTCTTCCGACCCCGGGAAACCGTCGGACGTCCAGCGCTCGGCCCTCCTCCGCGGGCCCGCGGCCGCAGGGCACGACGCCGCGGCGCGGGCACAGAGTGGGATGGCGTCGTGCTGTCGCCGTGCCCGCGCGGGCGGCTACGCGCACCACTGGCTGCGACCCGATGACCCTGGGCGTCCGCCTCGCGCCTGGCTCGGGGCCTGCGCCGCTTCCCCCGCGCCGCCACTGCCCGCGACAGCTGCCAGCGCAGCTGATCCAGCGGTGCGGGTCGTGGAGGGGGAAGGAAGCTGGAGTATTGGGGACCTTGCTGCCTGATCGGGAGATGGGTGCCACAGGTGTTGTTTGCATTCAGCTTAGCGGTAAAGCACGCCCCTGTGTTCCGTCACCCAGTTGCCCAGTTTCTTCACGCACGGTGTTTGGGTTGGTCGCCCGCGCCCCCTAGGTCACATGCCTTCCCCTGCCAGTCCCTCCCCCCTCCCCTCCTCCTCCCCTCCCCCTCCCCGGCCGGCCCCTTCGGGCGTCAGCGGCAATGCCAGTTTCGCGGCCGCAGCCTACTGGCTGCCCCCGCGTTGCGCGGCCTGGCGCGCTCTTCGTGGGTTCGGCGCAGTCGTTGCTCCCCAGAGTCGCCCCCCAGTCGTGCTCACTGTGTCCACGACCATTCCGTGCGGGGGTTCGTGCTCCCGGCGCTTGCGCCACACCACGGGCTGGTCTTGGGTTCGATTTGCGTTTGTCACCCAGCCACGATTGGGTCTGCAGCCTCGGTGCCTCCACAGCCCCAGGCGTCTCTTGTTCTCGGCTTCCGATCGTTCTCTCACGCTCCTGTGGTGTTGTTCCCCCCCCTCTTGTGGTGCTCACCAGTGCCTTTGCAAGTCTTGGTGGTCCGCTACCACGGCGTTTCTCAGTCCCCTTTCATTTCTCATTGGATTCCCCGCGCGACTGCTTTTTTCTGGCTCAGCCCCCAGTTCGACCTCGGTCGGCGTTTTCTATCCCGGCAAGGTCTTCGACCTCGCACTCTCGCCGCGTGGTGCGCACCCTGCACGTTCTACAGCGGCATCCGCGCGCCGGTTTTCATGGTCTGAGCGGGCCCCCCCCTCTTCCCCCTCGCGCTCTTTTGCTCCTCATTTCCTGTGCCCCGGTCACTTCCGTTGCGCCCCGCCTCTTGCTCGACCACTGCCCGCCCGTCCTATTGCACCCGTGGGCTTACAAAGTACGGCTGGCAAGCAAACGAGTGGGAGGGTGGATGTCAAAAGCTGCCTGGGAGGAGGGATGCTGATGATATTGATGATGATGAGGAGGAGGAGGAGGAGGAGGAAGAGGAGGAGGAGGAGGAGGGGGAGGAGGAGGAGGAAGATGATGAGGAAGAGGAGGGGAAACAAGAGGAGGAGGAGGAGGAGGAGGAGGAGGAGGAGCAGGAGGAGGAGCAGGAGGAAAAGGAGGACCAGGACTCATGAACGATATTGGAGTGAACTCCCTCCAAGCTCCCTTTTGATAGGTCCCGACAGAGGACTTATTTCCACTGAGGGAAGCACCCAGTTGGAAACGACCGTGAGAAAATCTTGAACTGTGCCAGGCTTCAACACCGCGAATCACCGTTGCTGTTGCCCCTTGACAATCCTGAATCGTGCCAGAACGCGATTTCTGGGAATCACCACGAATCAACGCAACTGTTGCGCCTTGACAGTCCGACATCGTGCCAAAACACCTTTTCTGGGACGTTAGCCGTGAGAATCCTTGAAAGTGTTGTCAACCCTCAGAATAAACGCGCGCGTCACTACGGCGAGAGTCATATTTTGAAAAGGAGCCGCCGTCACGGCGAGAGCCACATTTTGAAAACCGCCCGCCCTCTATCCGTGAAGCGCTTGCATTTTTTTCCAGACGAATGTGCGTGGCGCCAGAACGACAGCCACATTTTGAAAACCACCCGCCTTCCATTCGTGAGACTTTCGCATTTTTGTGGACGACTGTGCGCAGCGTTAAGGCGAAAACCACATTTTGAAAATGACCCGCCCTCTATCTGTAAAACTTTTGCTGTTTTTTTAAAAGACGATTGTGCGCGGCGCCCAGGCGAGAGCTACATTTTGAAAATGGACCTCCCTCCATCCGTGAAGCTCATGCAGTTTTTTGAGACGGATGTGCGCGGCGCTACGGCGGGAGCAACATTTTGACAACGGCCCGCCTTCCATCCGTGAGACGTTTGCAAATGTGAAGCTTCAGGATCATCAGTAGTGAGGGAGTTTCAGGCGAAGCGCCAGGCCCCTCCTCCCGACCGGCCCCCGGGCGCGACAGGGAGGAGTTGTTTAATCGCTTCGCTTTCCTTGCCAGCCTATCTTGTCGCGTGAGCGGACGATGAGGAGAAGGAGGAGGCGATGGTTTTGGGGAGAATTCTTCAAACGAAATTGGGTCGTCGACAAGACGGGCCTCTGGGAGACGACGTGGGGTTTCCTGGGAGGCCTCTTGGAAGCCTCTTTGGAGCTTCTCGGGCTCGTATTTTGGGACTTCTGGGAGCTTCTTGGGGCCCTGCCAGCAGTCTCGTGAGGGATCTCGAGGGGGAGGGCCAGCTCGGAGTACCGCCGCTCGTGGGGTCTTCTGTCAGGAGGGGAAAAAACACACAGACACAATTAATCCTCGATTCCCAGGAAAATATGGGAAAATATGGGAAGTGGGGGGGAAGACAGAAACCCAGAAAATATTGGAAAATATGGGGATTATTTTTGTTAGTGTGTATTTATTTGTGTGTCCCAGGGCCCCTTCATTCTGGGAGTTTCTGGAGCCGTCTTGAGGGGCCTTGTGGGCTGTCTTTTAGCGTGCTGGGGCCGTCTTGGGCTCCTCTTGGGGCGTGTTGGGGCGATTTTGTGTGCCTCCCAGGCAGTCTTGAACGTGGCGAAGCCTCGGAGTCGTTTGCGCGAAAAATGTACGCTTCACGACAGGAACGGGACGATTCGTGCTTCATGGGGCCCTCTTTTGGAGGGCCTCTTGAGCTCGGGGCGTCTTAGCAGCCTCCCGGGCTGCCTGGAGGCCATCTTGGGCGTCTTGGAGCGATCTTTCGGCGACTCGGGGCGTCTTGGACTGTCTGGGACTCCCTGGACCGCCTCGCGAGCGCGAACTAGAAATAGAAACTGTCAGCGTGTAGCCAGAGATCTTAGCACGCCCCTGGCCCGTTGGGCCGGCGAACTTATATCAGGAACAGCAATGGAGGAGCAGGAGCAGCACCAGGAGCAGGAGCAGGGAGGAGGAGGAGGAGGAGGAGGAGGAGGAGGAGGACGAAGACGAGGAAGATAGAGGACGGATTGTTCGTCAATTGTCATTATTCGCCATTACTGGTTCTCTTGAAACAATTTGTTGGTGTCATCCGAAAGGCGTCGGCAAGCATTGCCGCCATGAAGCGCGGGGCCACGAACGTCTTCAAGTTCTCCCCTGGGAGCCGAGGCGGCGCAACCAGTGTCGCCGCGACGGAGGAGGGAGGGAGGGAGGGAGGGAGGGAGGTAAGGGAGGGAGGGAAAGAGGGGAGGGAGGGAGGGAGGAGGGAGGGAGGGAGGAGAAGGAGGAGGAGAAGGGAGGAGGGTGGAGGGAGGAGGGAGGGGGGAAGGGAGGGAGGTGTATGGTCGACCAGGAGACAGGGAGGGAGGGAGGTAGAGAGGGAGGGAGGGAAGGAGGAGGAGGAGGGATGAGAAGGAGGGAAGAAGGAGAGGACGAGGCAAGTTCTTCCCCCTGGGAACCGAGGCAGCGTCACCAGCGCGGCCACGACGGATTCGGTGAGGCAGATGGTTGACTTCGCCGAGGGCGATGAGGCGGAGGTGCTCTCCATAGTGACCGTGCGGGCTGAGGAGGGCATGGACTCGCCGATTGTCGCGGAGCTCGCCGTCGGCATGTTGCTGACGGTCCTGGCCGTCGGGCAGGGCCGCCGCGTGAAGGCTGTCGGCGTCGTCATCACCGGCGCCGTCGCCGTCGCCGTCGCTGTCGTAGCCGTCGTCGCCATGGCTGCGGGCTCGTCTTTTTTCTCCACCCCACGTCTTTTTTGTTTCCCCCCCCGGTGTGTCGGTGTGATGGGATTTTTGTGTTGTTTTGTTTCCCCCCCTGGGGGGGTATTTTTTAGAAATTGTCCCTCAGGGTCTTGTTGTTTTTCCCCTGGGTCTTTTTGTCCCCCCCCCCGGCGCCTTTGGCGGGCCCCTAGATTTGTTGTTTTGCCCCCTCCATGTTTTGTTTTTGTTTCCCCCCCCCCCGGGGGGGGGGGCGGCAGGGGGCGGGGCGGGAGGGGCCCGGGGGGGAGGGGGAGGGGGGCGGGAGGGGGGCGCGAGAGGTTTTTGTTTGAGGGGGTCTGGGATGATGATGCTGTTGCTGCTGATGCTTCTGATGCTGATGCGGATGCTGATGGTGATGATGATTATGATGCTGCTGCTGATGCTGATGATGATACTGATGATGATGATGATGATGATGATGATGATGATGATGATGATGATGATGCGGTTGCTGATGACGATGCTGATGATGACGACGACGAAAAAAATATGATGATAATGCTGCTGATAAGGATGACGATGATGATGATGCTGATGGTGCCGACGATATGATGATGATGATGATGATGATGATGATGATGATGATGTTGATGATGATGCAAATGATGATGATGACGATGATGACGACGATGATGATGACGAAGATGATGATGTTGATGATGTTTATGACTCTGACTCTGATGATGATAATGATGATGGTGGTCATGATCATGATGCTGATGATGATGGTCTTGTTGCTGATGATGAAGATGATGATCGTGATGATACTGGCGCTGATGTTGATGTTGATGGTGGCGGTGGTGATGATGACGGGAATGAGGATGCTGTTCTTGATGACGACGATTATGATGTTTATCATGTTGATCATGCTGTTGCTGCTGATGATGATGACGATGATGATGGTGATGGCGATCATGGTGATGATGATGAGGAGGAGGAGGAGGATGCGGGAGGCAGAGGAGGAGGAGGAGGAGGATGTTGATGATGGTGATGCTGCTGCTGATGATGATGAGGATGTTGTTGATGATGATGTTGTTGCTGGAAATGATTATGATGCTGATGCAGATGCTTTCGTTGATGACTCTGATGCTGATGCTGATGATGATGATGATGATGCTGCCGCTGATGATGACAAAGGCGACGACGACGATGATTGTGATTCTGATGTTGATGATGATGGTGATGCTGCTGATGGTGAGGTTGATGATGACCATGATGATGGTTGTACTGGCGACGATGGCGATGATGGTGACGACGATGGCGACGACGACGATGACGATTATGACGATGATGCTGATGCTGATGCTGCTGACGATGATTTTGCTGATGATGCCGACGACGACGATGATGCTGCTGATGTTGACGATGAGGATGCTGCCCATGATGATGATGATGATGATGATGATGATGGTGATGATGATGCTGATGATGCTGCTGCTGATGATGATGATGATGGTGATGATCACGATGCTGATGATGATGGTCTTGCTGCTGCTGATGAAGATGATGATCGTCATGATAATGGCGCTGATGTTGATGTTGATGGTGGCGGTGGTGATGATGACGGGAATAATGATGCTGCTCTTGATGACGACGACGATTATGATGTTTATCATGCTGACCATGCTGCTGCTGCTGCTGCTGCTGCTGATGATGATGATGATGATGATGATGATGATGATGATGATGATGATGATGATGATTACGATGATGATTCTGATGATGTGGACCATGTTCATGGTTGTGCCTGTTTGGTCCATCCTTGACTGCTTTCGATGGCCCCCCCGCGCTCGAAAAAGCTTCAACACGGGCGTCCAAGGGGATTGCATCCTCATCGCGCATCCTTACCACCAGTTTTGACTCTACCCTGGACTGGAGTTCTCCCGGATAGCTTCGGGCGTCCCAACAGAGGGCTACCACTCTGCGGGGGGTGGGTGGGGGACCCAAAGAATATACACCACCACCACGTCGATTCCTCCCCTCTCCTCTGTCCAGCGAGAGGGAGGGGGGGAGGGAGGTGGTGGTGGTGTATATTTTTTTTTGGCCCCCCATGGGTGGGGGGGGCTGCCGCCAGGTCACGAGGTCGGGGCCTCGCGCGAAGCGCGCGGTTCGCGCCCACGCCCGCCGCTCTCCCCGCGCGGGCGACGAAGCCGGGCGGCATTCACGAAACCAGTCTCGGGGCTCATCGCTCAGATGATCTGGACGCCCGAAATTCAGGAGGGGAAAAAACACACAGACACAATTAATCGTCCACTCCCAGGAAAATATTGGAAAATATGGGAAGTGGGGGGCAAGACAACAACCCAGAAAATATGAGAAAATATGGGGAATCCTTTTCTTTGTGTGTATTTATTTGTGTGTCCTGGGGCCCCTTCAGAAATGGGTACTGAAAGAATGGGTACTATGCCCAACAGCGGATCTGGTTCATTTTGAACCAGATCCGCTGTCCACGCCGCCGCGGCCTGTGCCCAGATTCGAGACAGGAGGCCGCCTGCCCAACAGCGGCCGCTGTTGGTTTGGGACAACATTGGTTGTTGGGCATAGTGCCCATTCTTTCCGTACCCATTTCGTGCGTCCAAACAGATGAGGCAGAGCAAAACGATACCGATGCCGGTGATGGTGGTAATGCTCGGGCTCCCACTAGGCTCCCAGGGGATGGGGGGCAAACCCCCACGTGTGGCTGTTGGTGCCCACTTCAGGCCTCCAGGACCGATGCCGCTGCCCTTGCCCCGTTTCCCCCCCTCGGCCTCCTGGGAGCTCATCGCCGCCGCCGCTGGATCTGCCTCAAATTGGCGGTCAGAACACTCCTGGGAGAGGTTTGTGGGGTGGCGGCATCTCGGTAGTCCCCAAACGTGGTGGTGACAACACCTGGCGGTGAGTCTCGGGCGATTTGGTGTCACCACCCGGTTTGGGGACTCGTGCGGTTTTCCGAGGATGTCCCGAACACTGGTGGGGCCAGGAGTCACAAAACCCGGTGGTGACCCCGTGTCCCCAAACCCAGCGGTGACCTTTTTTGGGGGATTCCAGGTCGCCACCTGGTATCTCACCACCCGGTTTGGGGGTTCCCAAGCATCGGTACCGTTTGGCCACCCCGGTCCCGGGGCTCATCGCCACGCCGCGGTCGCTCAAGGTCGAAGGATCCGCGCGAGTGATCTTTTCGATGTTGCATCTGGCCGCGGCGTCGGGCCTCGGGGGGGAGTCTCCGAGGCCCTCGAAGGCCCCCGGTCTCTGGGAGGAGCCTCGGCCCCCTCCTGCCGCAGCGGTGGCAGCCCATGGCGCTGTGGCTCATGCCAGAGCATGCCAATGCATGCTGCATGCCAGTGCATGCCAATGTGTGCCAATGCGTGCCAATGCCTGCCAGTGCATACCAATGCATGCCATCGCATGCCAATGCATGCCAACGCAAGCCAATGCATGCCGATACGTGCCAATGCATGCCAGAGAATGCCAATGCATGCCATCGCATGCCAATGCATGCCAACGCAAGCCAATACATGCCAACGCATGCCAATGCATGCCAATGCATGCCTCTGTGTGCCAATGCATGCCAATGCCTGCCAGAGCATGCGGGTCGGGTCGAGCGGGCGGGACATTGAAGTGTGATGCGTCATCGAGTTGGCACGCGAGAGCCTTGCCGGGCGTGTCGGGTCGGGCCGGGTGGGCGGGACATTACAAGTTTGACGCATGTTCTAGCTGACGCGCGAGAGCCCTGACTGGCGGGTCGGGCGGGCGGACCCTAACGGTCGGGTTGGATCGGGTCGGGTTGGGCGGGCGGGCCCTAACGGGCGGGTCGGGTGGGTCGTGCGGGCGGACCCCAACGGGCGGGTCGGGCCGGGCGGACCTCAACGGGCGGGTCGGCTCGGGCCGGCGGGACATCAAAATGTCGTGGATCATCAGGGTTCCACGCGAGAGCCCTCACGGGCGGGTCGGGTCGGGTCGGGCGGGCGGACCCTGACGTGCGGGTCGGGTCGGGCGGGCGGGGCATTCAGGTGTGGTGCATGATGGCGTTGGAACGCGAGAACCCTATCGGGCGGGATGGGTCGGATCGGGTCGGGCGGGCGGACCCTAACGGACGGGTCGGGCAGGGCGGGCGGGATATTTAAATGTGGTGCTTAATCGAGAAACTGGACGAGAAACCTGACGAGCGGGTCGGGTCGGGTCGGGTTGGGCGGACCCTAACGGGCGGGGCGGATCGGGCGGGCAGAACTTGCAAATGTGGTGCTTTACGAGATGGCAAGCGAGAGCCCAGACGGGCGAGTCGGGTCGGGCGGGCGGACCCTAACGGGCCGGTCGGATCGGGTCGGGTCGGGTGGGTCCGAACGAGCGGGTCGGGTCGGGCGGGCGGGACATTAAGCTGTTGTGCATCTTCGAGTTGGCACGAGAGAGCCTAGGTCGGGTCTGGCCGGGTCGGGTTCGCGGGACATCGCAAGTTTGGTGCGTGCTCTAGCTGACACGCGAGAGCCCTAACTGGCGGGTCGGGCCGGGTCGGGCGGGCGGACCCTAACTGGCGGGTCGGGTCGGATCGGGTCGGGCGGGCGGGCCCTAACGGGCAGGTCGGGTCGGGTCGGACGGGCGGACCCTAACGGGCGGGTCGGGTCGGGTCGTGCGGGCGGACCCCAACGGGCGGGTCGGGTCGGGCGGACTTCAACGGGCGGGTCGGCTCAGGCCGGCGGGACATCAAAATGTCGTGGATCATCAGGGTGCCACGCGAGAGCCCTCACGGGCGGGTCGGGTCGGGTCGGGTGGGCGGACCCTGACGTGCGGGTCGGGTCGGGCGGGCGGGGCATTCAGGTGTGGTGCATGATGGCGTTGGAACGCGAGAACCCTATCGGGCGGGATGGGTCGGATCGGGTCGGGCGGGCGGACCCTAACGGACGGTCGGGCAGGGCGGGCGGGATATTTAAGTGTGGTGCTTAATGGAGAAATTGGACGAGAAACCTGACGAGCGGGTCGGGTCGGGTTGTGCAGGCCCTAGCGGGCGGGCCGTATCGGGCGGCCAGAACATCCAAGTATGGTGCATTACGAGTTGGCAAGCGAGAGCCCTAACGGGCGGGTCGGGTCGGGCGGGCGGATCCTAACGGGCGGGTCGGGTCGGGTTGGGCGGGCGGGCCCTCACGGGCAGGTCGGGTCGGGTCGGGCGGGCGGACCCAAACGGGCGGGTCGGGTCGGGGTCGGGCGTGACATTGAAGTGTGGTGCTTAATCGAGAAACCGGACGAGAAACCTGACGAGCGGGTCGGGTCGGGTCGGGTCGGGTTGGGCGGGCCTTAACGGGCGGGGCGGATCGGGCGGGCAGAACTTTCAAATGTGGTGCATTACCGGCAGGGCAGAATTGTCAAATCGGGCGGGCGGAACTTCAATCGGGCGGGCAAAATGTTCAATCGGGCGGGCAGAAGTTTCAAATCGGGCGAGAACCTTGACGGGCGTGTCGGGTCAGGTCGGGTGGGCGGGATATTGCAAATCTGGTGCGTGTTTTAGCTGACACGCGAGAACCCTATCTGGCGGGTCGGGTCGGGTCGGGTCGGGCGGGCGGACCCTAAAGGGCGGGTCGGATCGGGTCGGGTCGGGTGAGCGGACCTTTAACAGGCGGGTCGGGTCGGGTCGGGTCGGGCGGGCGGGCCCTAACGGGCGGGTCGGATCGGGTCGGGTGGGCGGACCCTAACGGGCGAGTCGGGTCGGGCGGGCGGGGCATTCAAGTATGGTGGATCATCCGGGTGCCACGCGAGAACCCTCACGGGCGGGTCGGGTCGGGTCGGGCGGGCGGACCTTCACGTGCGGGTCGGGTCGGGCGGGCGGGGCATTAGAGTGTGGTGCATAATCGTGATGTAACGCGACAGCCCTAACGGGCGGGACAGGTCGGATCGGGTCGGGCGGGCGGAACCTGACGGGCGGGTCGGGCCGGGCGGGCGGGACATTGAAATGTGGTGCATAATCGTGTTGGCACGCGAGATACCTGACGAGCGGGTCGGGTCGGGTCGGGTCGGGTTGGGTGGGCCCTAGCGGGCGGGGCGGATCGGGCGGGCAGAACATTCAAATGTGGTGCATTACGAGCGAGAGCCCTAACAGGCGGGTCGGGTCGGGAGGGCGGACCCTGACGGGCGGGTCGGGTCGGGTTGGGCGGGCGGACCCTGACGGGCGGGTCTTGTCGGGCGGGCGGGACATTGAAGTGTTGCGTCATCGAGTCGGCACGCGAGAACCTTGACGGGCGTGTCGGGTGGGGTCGGGTGGGCGGGACATTGGGGTATGATGCGTCATCGAGTTGGCACGCGAGAGCCCTAACGGGTGGGCCGGGTCGGGCGAGCGGGCCCTACCGCGCGGGTCGGGTCGGGTCGTGCGGGCGGGCTTTAACGGGCGGGTCGGGTCGGGCGGGCGGGACGGGATGATGTCTTGGAGGCGGAGTCCGTTGAACATTGGGTGTGGCCCTGCGCGGGGATCCCACGCGCGGGTAGGGATTCTCATGATCCTTTCACTCATCATCATGATCATTATCATCATCATCATCGTCATCAGCATCATCATTATCACCAGCAGCATCATCATTCTCGTGCTCAGTATCATCATCATCAGCAGCAGCAGCAGCAGCATCATCAGCAGCAGCAGCAGCATCATCATCATCATCATCATCATCGTCATCATCATCATCATCATCATCATCATCAGCAGCAGCATCATCATCATCAGCATCAGCATCATCATCAGCATCATCATCATCAGCATCATCATCAGCATCATTACCATGATCATCACAGGAGAGAGGAGAAGGAGAACGAGGAGCAGAGCGAGGCCTCCTGCAGGTCCGGAGGCCCCTGCCGGGCCCCGGGACCGTCCACGAGCGACTCGGAGTGATAAGCCGGCCCGGGGGAAAGGGTCAGGACTTCCAGGGACCACGTACAATATCCGCGTCGCCCCAACATACTTATTCAGAGCCCCGAATCATCAGGGGTAACTCGGGTCAGGGATAACTCGGGTTCGTTTCTCGGGAATCCGAACCCGAGTTACCCCGGACCCGAGCTACCCCGGATAACTCGGGCGTCCAGAGCCCCGAATCATCAGGGGTAACTCGGGTCAGGGCTAACTCGGGTTCGTTTCTCGGGAACCCAAACCCGAGTTACCCCGGACCCGAGTTACCCCGGATAACTCGGGCGCCCAACTTATACTATGTGTGCGTCTCCCCCCCAGGGGCGACGCGCGCACCGAGAAATCTTATAGTACATGTGTCGTGGCGGGCGCTTTCAGCCCGCCCCGCTCGGGAAACGATATACACCTTAGGCGATGCTTAAGAAAACCTAAGTTTTCGGCCAGGGTCTCGATTATTCTTAACGTTTCAATGTAAATCCTAAGATTAGAGTGGAAATGTTGGGTTTGTATTCCAGTTCTAAGACTATGAATTTCTTAGCCCATGATTTCTTAAGCATCTCGCAGGGTGTATACTATATGTTCGGGTCGGACGCGCGCCTCCAAGGAGGACCTATAGTACTGGTAGGTCCCTGTGCGTCCCATATACATTCTCGCGGCGGGGAAGCGGCCCCCCGACGCCGAACGCGTAGGACAAAATTTCAGTCGCGTGTCTCTGGCGGCGACGCTCGGATCTGAGGGTACACTCGGCGTCCCCCCAACATGCTAATACTACACCTTAGGCGATGCTTAAGAAAACCCACGTTTTCGTCCAGAATCTCGATTGTTCTTAACTTTCCAATGCAAATCCCAAGATTTTGATAGAAGTCCTGGGTTTTTTATTCAAGTTCTGAGACGATGAATTTCTTAACCCATGATTTCTTGAGCATTTCGCAGGGTGTACATTCGGCGTCCCCCCAACGTGCTAATACTGTGGGTGCGTCGCCCCCCAAAGGGGCGACGCGCGCGCGCCGAGAAATGTTTATAGTAGAAGCTCCGTGGCGGGCGCTTGCTGGCCGTAACGCAACAGTGTTGTGCAGGATGTCTGTACTATCTGTTCGCAAGGGCTCCCCCGAGGGCGCGAAGTTATTCGCGCTTCGCGCTTCGCGGTCCTCGTTCCTTCTCCCCCTCCTCCTCGTCCTCCTATTCTCCCTTTGGGAGGGCGGCGCGAGAGCGCGAAGTTATTCGCGCTTCGCGCTTCGCGCAGCGCGAAGCGCGAAGTTGGGAGCCCTCTGTACTGTCTGTTCGGGTGGGACGCACGCCTCCAAGGAGAACACCGTAGTACTGGTATGTCCTTCTGCGTCCTAGGACTGTAGTCGTTTTTTCCCCTCCCCCTCACCTCACCTCACCCCCACCCCAGGGGGAAACAAAAACAAGACCCCGGGGGAAAAAAGAACAGACCTCGCCACCCACTTCCGGGCACCAGGGGGGGAAAAAAAGCCTCAGGGGTAACAAAAAAAGATTAGGCCCCCTTAGGGGGAAAAAAAAAACAGGGGGGGGGAACAACAAAAACTTCCCCCCATGGCTGTCGTCGCCGTCGTCGTCGTCGTCGTCACCTCCGAGGTGAAAGTTTCTGGGGAAGAGGCCACAGTAGGCTGGATCAGCACGAAGACAAAGCTCAACGAGCCCTTGGTCATGAAGCGGGGCCTCGAGATCGGTTCGGCCATAGATTTCGAGAAGGGCGGAGTCCACGAGATCAAGGCGATGGTCACCTGTCGTGCAGAGGAGAAGCTAGAGAGCGAGATCCTGCAGGAACTGCAGCCCGGAACCCGCGTCAAGATCGAGGAGATCGGCAAGTACAACAACCGCCGCGTGAAGATCTCCAGGGACGGGCAGGAGCTCGGCTGGATCAGCACCTGCACCAGGCACGGGGAGATGCTCATCGGCGTTGTCTCCGAGGGCGGCAGGCCCGCCGACGGCAGGAGCGGCATGTTCGGGGCGAGCAGCACCAAGATCAAGACCCTGCTGCAGGCGGCCAGGTCTAACGACCTCGAGGAGTTGAAGAAGATTGTCGAGGGCGGCTCGGGTGTGATGTCTAAGTTCTCGAGCCGGCCGAACCTGAACAGCAGCGACATCCGTGGGAAGACCTGCCTCATATACGCGTGCGCCTTTGGCCACAAGGAGATCGTCCTCTACCTGCTGACGAAGACGAAGGAGGTCGACATCAACGCGGTGGACGATACGATGAAGAGCGCGCTGCACCACGCGTGCAAGAGGGCGAAGTCGTCGGACTCCGACACGGTGAACATTGACATCGTCGGCGCCCTGATCGAGGCCGACGCCAACAAGGAGGCCCGGGACCACAACGGGTGCACCCCGCTTATGTTCGCCGTGGCGAACGGCGACCAGCGAGTGGTGCAGAGCCTGATCACGGCCCAGGCCAGCCTGAACGTCAAGGACTACGAGGGGCACACCTGCCTGGACTACGCGAACAACTTCGGGCACGCCGAGCTCTTCAATTTGCTCAAGGCCAGCGGGGCCCAGTCGGGCCTCCCGGAGGACGAGAAGGAGGAGGAGGCCGTCGAGGAGAGGGCGGTCGCCGAAGAGGAGGAGGCCGCGGCGCCGCAGGGCGCAGAGGCAGACAAGGCTCCCAAGGACGACGGCTCCAGCGAGTTGAAGAAGAAGGTGATGAAGAAGAAGAAGACTGCCGAGGAGGGCGCGCCGGCTGCAGAGGGCGAGGAGAAGCCGAAAAAGAAGACGACGAAGAAGAAGGTCGGGGAGAAGGAGAGGGAGGAGAAGAAGAAGATCAAGAAGCGGATGAGCGGCGTGGGCCTGGGCATGGCGGAGGCCCTGGCGGTGGAGCCCGAGGACCCGAAGGGGGAGGTCACCGTGGAGGTCGTGACGGAGGAGTCGAATGCCCAGCAGCGCGCCCTCAAGAAGGTCGAAGTGCTGCTGAAGGACCCCAAGGTCACCGCCGCCGAGCTCAAGGGCGCTCTCGAGGTGGCCAAGGGCGCCAACGTGCCCGCGTCGGAGCTCGCGAAGGCGGAGGCCAAGCACCAGGAGCTCGCCGAGAAGGCGCTGGCCCTCCAGCAGCTGCGGGTGGCCATCCAAGACAGGAGCGTGACGATGCGCCCATGGGGGGAAGGCAGAGGGGTGGGCCTTCTCACAGGGCTCAGAATGTCTCTGGCCTGCTAATCACTTTTCGGAGCCTCCTCCAAAAAGCCACGGGGTGCTTCTCAGAAGGCCAGAGGGCTTCTGAGAAGCCCCGCCGCCTTCTGAGAAGGCTTGCCCCCTCGTTGTCTTACTCTCGGCGCGCGCCGAGAGGAGCGTGGCGATGCTTTGGGAGACGCTGAAGAAGGCGGAGGCGCTCAATCTGAGCAAGAAGGATATCGATCAGGCCAAGCAGGTTCTCAAGGAGGAGGAACCCAAAGAAGAAGCCAAGAAAAAACTCATAGAGGCCGCCAGCAGTGGCGACGTGAAGATCCTGAAGAAGGCCATCAAGGACGCCACCAGGGCCGGCGTGAGCGCCTCCGACCTCGCCGAGTACGAGGAGCTGCTCAAGGGATCGGAGAACAAGGAGGCGGCCGCCAAGGTGCTCAAGGGCGCGCTGGAGTCCATGGACATCCCGGCGCTGAAGATTGCCATCTCCCAGGCGCAAGGGCTCCCCCGAGGGCGCGAAGTTATTCGCGCTTCGCGGTCCTCGTTCCTCCTCCCCCCTCCTCCTCCTCCTCCTACTCTCCCTTTGGGGGGGGGCGGCGCGAGAGCGCGAAGTTATTCGCGCTTCGCGCTTCGCGCAGCGCGAAGCGCGAAGTTGGGAGCCCTAGGAGAGAGGAGCAGGGGGGTGGGGGTGGGGTCCGAGTCGGGCTCCCAACCTCCCGACCACTTCCCCGGGACCGGTTTTTCATCCCGAGTCGTTTTTTGACGGTCCCGAGGCCCGGCGAGGGCTTCCAGAGGCCGAAAACGACGAAAAACCTTTGTCTCGATTTTTTCGAGACGCCCGAGGTCTGGGGAGGAGGAGGGAGCCCTAGCAGGCGAGAGAGGCCGGCGTCGACGCCGCGGCGGTGGAGCAGGCCGAGGAGACGCTGGCGGTCGAGGGCCCGAAGGCGGAGGCCCGCGACGCCCTCGAGGAGGCCATCGAGGGCGGCGAGGTGGCGAGGATCGAGGAGGCCATCGAGAGGGGCAGGAGTCCAGGAGGGAAAGAAACACCTGAGGTCGGACTGAGGTCGGACTGAGGTCGGACCTCGGTCGGACTGAGGTCGGACCTAGGTCGGACCTCGGTCGGACTGAGGTCGGACCTCGGTCGGACTGAGGCCGGACCTAGGTCGGACCTAGGTCGGACCTCGGTCGGACCTCGGTCGGACCTAGGTCGGACTTCGGTCGGACTTCGGTCGGACTTCGGTCGGACCTGGGTCGGACCTCGGTCGGACTTCGGTCGGACTGTAGTCAGGAGGGAAAGAAACACACAGACACAATTAATCGTCGACTCCCCAGGAAATATGCAAAAATATGGGAAGTGGGGGGGAGGACAAGAACCCAGAGAATATGGGAAAATATGGGGGATACTTTTATTTGTGTGTATTTATTTGTGTGTTCCAGTTCCCCTTCAAGGAAGGCGGGGCTGGACGCCTCCGAGATCACGCGTGCGGAGGACGTCGTCAAGACGGAGGGCGAGAAGGTGAAGCTGCTGGCCAGGGTGAGCGAGGTGATGGAGGAGACCATGTCGTGCGACATGAAGGACGTCGACTCCGTGCGTGCCGCGAAGGAGATCGAAGAACATCAGTTGGCGTGCAGATAAGCTTCCTGAGCTCCCCGTGGATTCCTTGGATCGGCGTTGGGCCCCCCTGGCGGCGCCTCTGGCGCCGATCCAAGGCATATGCGCGGAGCTCACATTTTTATATCAAAGTAGGTTTGCCTATATTAGTCCTAGCTCAGTGCGTAGAGAACTGCACTCGCATCGTCTTGATTTTAAGGGCTTCCTAGGCTAATAGCTTCCTCTGCTCTATTTGTTTAGGTTCCTATCGGATCTCCTTGTAACTGTACATGAGTTCTCTGACATTGTAGCTGATCCCTATGGGATCCGTATCGGATTTCTTGTAGGGGTCTTATAGGATGTCACATGGATCACATAGGAACCGTGTACGATTCCCATCGGCTCTCAGAGGAATCGTGTAGGATTCATAGGAGTTGTATAGGGTATCATCGGAGTGCGCTTCCCACATAATCCGTTAGGATAGCATTGGAGCCTTACACCATCCCTGTATGTTTTCAGCTGGACCGTGTAACATTGCGCAGGATTGCATAGGAATCGAATCTAGTAGAGTAGAGTAGACCAGAGTAGACAGTAGGGCAGACAACAGTCGAGTGGAGTAGAGTGTAGTAGAGTAGAGTCGAGTCGAGTAGAGTAGAGTAGAGTAGAGTAGGGTAGAGTAGAGTAGAGTAGAGTAGGGTAGAGTAGAGTAGAGTAGGAGGAGAGTAAAGACGAGTAGGGTAGGGTAGAGTAGATGCGAGTAGAGCGAAGTGCAGCATAATAGAGTATCCGCCGATCCGGCGTGTGAGTTTAGGGGAAGGGGGTGACCGGGGTGGCTCTGCCCGGGTGGGGGGATGGAAGGGAATGGGGGGGGTCCAGTGGCGTGCGTTCCGGTGGCGTGGTGGGAGGGGGGTCCGGTCCCCCGTCCCTCCTGTGGACAGGGGGAATTGGGGGAAGAGGGGGGGAGGGTCCGGTGGCCGTGGTGGCTCTGCAGGGGTAAGGGTATAGGGGGGGGTCTGGTGGCGTGGGTTCGGGTGGCGTGGGGGGGGGTCCTGTCCCCAGTCCCGCTTGTGGACAGGGGGAATTGGGGGAAGAGGGGGGAGTGTTCCAGTGGCGTGTGTTCCGATGGCGTGGGGGAGGGGAAGGGGGGTGTCCGTGGCGTGTGAGTTTGAAGGAGCCTCAGCTACAGCCTCGAGGCTGATTCAGCCTCTGGGGGGCTTGCCGAGGTGGCTCTTCCGGGGAAGGAGGGGAGGGGGGGGGTGCGCGTGTGCATGGGGTAATGTTTGTCCGTGTAATTACGCGAGAAGGGAATCGGGGAAAGAGGGAGAGAGAAGTGGATCGGGGCAAGAGCGGAAAACGGGGAACAAATGGGGGGGAAGACGAAGGCGGTGAAATGCGTGTCTGTTGTTGTGTGTGTGTGTGTATGTGTGTGTGTGTGTGTGTTTGTGTGTTTGTGTTTGTGTGTGTGTGTTTGTGCGGTGTGCGTGGTGTGTGTGTGTATGTGTGTGTGTGTGTGTGTTGCCGGCGTGTGCGTATGTGTGTGCCTGCGAAGGTGGCGCGCATGTGTGAATTTGGTGTGTGTGTGTGTCTGTGGTTGTGTGTGCGTGCGTGTGTGTGTGTGCGCGTGTGCGCGTAATGTCTGCGAGCGTGTGCGCGCGTGTCTGTCAGCGAAGTGTCGCCGCCCAGTCTGGGGGGCACCCCAAGCGACCCGGATCGGCGGCACTGGCCGAAGGCCACTACAATAGCATAATCGAGTAGGTTAGGCCCGGGTAGGGTAAGGCAGGGTAGCACAGAGTAGGATAGAGTAGAGCACAGTCGTGTCGACTATAGTAGGAGTAGAGGAGAGTAGAAGGAGCATAGTAGGTTAGATTCGCGTAGGCTAGGGTCGAGTATAGCGGGGTAGAGTAGTGCAGACTCTGATAGGGTCGCGTAAATGGTAGCGTAGAGTCTGGTATAATCGATTTGGGTAGAACCGAGCAGAATAGGAGTAGAGTAGATGAGGCGTAGGACAAGGGTGGAGTCGAGTATACTATCTTAGAGTGAACTAAAACTAGACTACAGTAGGTCAGGGTCGGGCAGGGTCGGGACGGGCAGGGTTGAGTAGAGTAAGGCAGATCATAGCTGAGTGTTACAGAGTACAGTAGGGTAGATGCTAGAGAAGAGTCGGGTCGACTCCAGTCGAGTAGGGTAGAGTGGGGTAGAGCAGCGTAGGACAAGTTAGAGTAGTGTAGAGCAGGGTGCGTAGAGTAGAGCAGGCCAGCATAGAGTGGAGTAGAGTAGAGCAGATGAACTGGTCCTCAGAGTAAAATCGAGTAGGCGAAGATTAGAGTCGAGTGTAATGGAGTAGGAGTAGAATGGGAAAAGAGTATTGTAGGGTAGGGTATGGTAGGGTCGGGCAGGGTGGAGTGGAGCAGGACAGCGTAGAGCAGAGTATACTAGAGTCAGGCATACGACAGAATAGCGCCCAGTACAATGGAGTTACTTAGACCATATTAGATCAGGTTCGAGTAGAGTAGGTTCGGGTAGGGCACGGTAGGGTAGGGTAGGGTAGAGTAGAGTTGACTAGGGTACATTACATATCTCTCGAGTAGAGTAGGGTACAGAACAGTAGACAGTAGAGTAGAACGAGTAGGGTGGAACAGAGCGACGTGTATGAGAGCAGAGTCGAGTCGAGCAGAGTAGAGAAGAGCCTTGGAGCAGAGTAGAACAACATGGGTTAGAGTATAGTATATCCTATCAGACCAGAGTATGGCAGAGTAGATTAGGAGTAGAGGGAACACCATGATATGAGTAGAATAGAGTAGAGTAGGGTAGAGTAGGGTGGGGTAGAGTAGTGTATATGGTAGAGTAGAGTCGGGCACAGTCGAGTCGAATGGAGTAGAGTAGAGTAGAGTAGAGTAGAGTAGAGTAGAGTGGAGTAGAGTAGAGTAGAGTAGGAATGCAATAGAGGAGAGGAAAGGAGAGCATACCAGAGTCAAGCTAGGTGCGCTCGCGCCACGTCTGACATCCGATCCCCCCCCATCCCATCCCTTCGCATTGCGCTTCTTTTTCCTACATGCCTGGACGCGCACCGCAAGGACAGGACAGGAAGAAGCCGCGCCTAGACGGCGCATCGGCACACATTGGCAGGAAAGCGCAGGCCATACCATGTGCAGAATATCATGCCGAATGCACGTGCGCCGGGTCACAGCCACTGTACATCGACCAGTGCTGGGCGGCGGGTGTCGCTACATTCGCACATCGCACACTGAACATGCAGGAGGGCAGGGAGGGAGGGAGCGCGGAGCGGAAGGGAGGAGAGGGGGCAGAAATGGAGAAGGGGAACACGATTACATAGAATACTCGTCAACGGCTTTGCGCCATTGTGCTGGAGAGCCTTGCAGAAGATCGCGCAAGTGGTCAGCGTTGCCCCCAGCTGTCTCGACGGCCTGGGCGTGCAAATATGTTGCCCATTGCAGGCGCGGGCGCCCACGAGATTGTTGACTGTTCCATCGTCTTGGTTGGCAACTGCCACTCTTGAGCAGCATTGCTCTCGGCAGGCTTCTCGGGGAATTCTTGGCCAATTTTCCATATACCTGCAGCTGACGTCTCCATACATCTGCTGAAAAGCGCTTCGGCGTTGCTGACACGAGAGAACTTGGCAGGATGGATGATGTTGCATATTCATCGGGGGCATTTCGCTTGGAAGCTGTCGCGGCGATCTTTGTCAGCTTGTAGCAGCATGCAATATTCCAAACCATATAGCAGGTCTGAAGATACACAAGCATCCAGAACATGGATTTTGTGCTGTCTGGTCATGTTGGCGTGGCTCCACATGCGCTGATCTGTTCGACTCCTATTGCTTCGCCAAGCCTGCGCGTGAGTTCTGCTCGCGGATTCCCGTTGACGCTAAGTAGCCCGCCAAGGTGCACAGCTGAAACGCGTGCCATAGCCGACTTGGTACTCCATTACCCCAGCAAGACACCCTAATTGCAGCAACGGTGACTTGTGGGACCAGATGAGAGTAGGAGCAGAGCAGAGTAGAGTATATTATAATAGCGTAGAGTAGAAGTAGAGTGGAGTCGAGTACAGTAGGTTAGGGTAGGGTAGAGTAGGGTAGAGTAGATTAGGTAGGGCAGGGTAGGGTAGAGTAGAGAAGGGTAGAGTAGAGCAGAGTAGAGTCGCGTATGATAGAGTAGAGCAGAGTAGAGTAGGGTAAAGCAGAGTGGAGTAGAGTTCACCCCAGCTCAGTTCCGTCTGCTTCAGTACACTCCAGTCCACTCCAGTCCACTTCATTGAAGTGTTCTGATCTATTTGGTGTCTGTGCTGGCTGATATTATCCCTCCAGGAGAAGCTCAACGAGGCCGTCATGGCAGCACTGGCCATCGGAGTGAAGGAGGACAAGATCTACGACGCCGAGGTGCGGAGAAAGAAGCTCCACAACACGGTGGAAGACCTGAAGGGGTCGATCCGCGTCTTCTGCAGGATACGTCCCCTCAGCAAGAAGGAGACGACCGCGGGCAGTGCAAAACACCCCCCTCGTCCCTTCCCCCAGTTCGCTCCCCCCCCCCTTCCTCCTCGTCCCGTCCTCCAGCCCTTCTTCCAAGAGAAGAGGGGCTGGTGGACGGCAGGGGAGGGGGGAAGCGGAAGGGCGGCAGGGGAAGGGGGGAAGACTTTCCCCCTTTTCCCTTCCCCTCCTCCACCCCGTCCTCCTCCTCCCCTTTCTGCCCCTTCTCCTCCCCCTCCTCCCCCTCCTCCTCCTCCTCCCTTTCCTCCTCCTTCTCCTCCTCCTCTCTCCCTCCTCCTCCTCCTCCTCCTCCTCCTCCTCCTCCCCCTCCTCCTCCTCCTTCCCCTCCTCGTCTTTCTCCTGCTCTCCCGCCTTCTTCCTCCCCCCCCTCCACCCAGCAAAGCAAGAAGGAGACGACCGCGGGCGACACAAACGTCACCAAGCAGATCAACGTGCAGACCGTCGAGGTAGGCGGCCACCAGTTCAGCTTCGACTCCGTCTGGACGCCTGGCACGCAGGAGGAGGTTCGGCGGCGCGCCGAGGGGTGCAGCTTGGGAGTTTCGGGCTCGAGATTCGGGGTTTTCGGGCGTCCTTCAGCCTCGGGGTGGTCTCCAGAAGCTGAGCCTGGCTGAGAGCGTTCCAGGGGTGCCCAGATCGCGCCAGAGACCCGAGTTGTGACCCGCAAACCAAATTCGGCGGCGCGCCGGGAGGGAAATTGAAGGGGGGTAGGCCTTCTCAGAAGGCGGCGGGGCTTCTCATAGGCCCTCAGGCTTTCTGGGAGGACCAGAAAGGCTCAGAAGGCCTCTCAGAAGGCCGGATGCCTTCCGAGGCTTCTGAGAAGGCCTGCCTTCTCTGTTTCCTCGTGGGCGCGCCGCCCCTGAGGTCTTCGAGGACTGCAAGGATCTGGTGCAGTCTGCGGTGGACGGCTACAACGTGACCATGTTCGCGTACGGGCAGACGGGCGCGGGCAAGACCTTCACCATGGGTGGCGTGCCCGGCAACCTGGGCGTCTCGCCGCGAACCATCGCCCACATCTTCAAGATCCTGAAAGACAACGAGGGCCGGTTCCAGTTCACCGTCATGGGTTCCATGCTCGAGCTTTACAGGAGCGACCTCGTAGATAAGGGAACAAACAATGACATAAACATACAAAAATTCAGAGGTCCGCGCGGTTTTCTCGGATCGGCGCTTGGGCCCCTTGGCGGCGCCTCCGGCGCCGCCCCTGGCGCGCCGCCAGGGAGGTCCAGCGCGGTTCCAAGAAATCTGCGCGGACCTCCGAGTTTTCATATTATGTCATTTTTCGTTCCCCTGGTAGACCTGCTCAGCAAGGGTGACCCCAAGTCAGAGAAGAAGAAACTGAACGTCCGCACAGAGAAGAACGGCGCAGTCACCATCGAGAACCTCTCGGAGGAGACGTGCTCGAATGCGCAGGAGCTCGAGGACCTGCTCGAGAGGGGCAATAAAGCCAGAACGGTGGCCGCGACGGCAATGAACAGCGAAAGCTCTCGGTCTCACCTGGTGCTGATCATCAGGATCATCAGCGTCAACAAAGAGACTAAGCAGCAGCTGCGAGGGAAGTTGCTCATCTGCGACCTTGCTGGTTCGGAGCGGCTGTCGAAGTCCCAGGTCACAGGCGACGGCCAGAAGGAAGCGATCGAGATTAACAAGTCCCTCACATCTCTGGGCGACGTCATCGAGGGTCTTACTAAGGGGTCAAAGGTGATTCCATACCGGAACCACAAGCTCACGCAGCTTATGCAGGACTCCCTGGGCGGCACCGCCAAAACGCTCATGTTCATCAACTGCTCGCCCGCGAACTCGAACCAGGACGAGACGATCATGGCTCTGAAGTACGCACAGCGCGCGAAAACCATCACTAACAAACGGTGACTGGGCGCAGGCGGCGGCGTATTGGTGGAGCGGCCACCCTCGAAGAACAAAGCAACTGCACAAGCATGATCGTTCGGGTGTCCGCGCGGACATCCGCATCCTCATGCCTGTGTGCAGTCGCTTTCTCCCCTGGCATTCACCGATCTGATTTTCTCAATCCGCGGCCCCAGAGGTCCCGACCGCTTCCCCGGGGGCAATCTCTCGTCCCCGAACCGTTTTCGGTGCCCCCTGGCCCGAGAACGGCCCTCTCGAGGGCCCAGGTCGAGGAAAAAAACAGCCGGCGGTTGGTGAAACCACACCGTCGGAGATCGCGATGATGATGATGATGATGATGATGATGATGATGATGATGATGATGATGATGATGATGATGATGATGATGATGATGATGATGATGATGATGATGATGATGATGATGATGTGATGATGATGATGATGCTGATGCTGATGCTGATGCTGATGCTGATGCTGATGACGATGACGATGACGATGACGATGACGATGACGATGACGATGACGATGACGATGACGATGACGATGACGATGACGATGACGATGACGATGATGATGATGATGATGATGATGATGATGATGATGGTGGTGGTGGTGATGATGATGCCTATGCTGATGCTGATGGTGGTGATTATGATGATGATGATGCTCATCCAGATGATGATGACGATGATGATACTGATGCTGATGCTAATGATGCTGCTAACTATGATGTCGATGATGATGGTGGTAACGATGATGATGCTTATGAATCTGATGATAATGCTGATGATGATGATGATTGTGATGCTGATGACGATGATGATGGTTACGCTGATGATGATGATGATGATGATGCTGGT